TCTGGCGTCGAGAAAGTGCCGCGCCCGCCGTACCCTGCGAGTCTGCAGCGCATAGAGACCGCACCCTTGTGCGCAACCCCTCTGGTGTCAAGAAAGTGTCATGCCTGCCATGCCCTGCGCGCCCGCAACGTATTAAGACCGCGCCCCCTGCGCACCCCCTTCTGGTGTCGAGAAAATGCAACGCCCGCCGTGCCCTGCGAGCCAGCAGCGCATAGGGACCGCACCTCCTGTGCACTCCTTCTGGTGTCGAGAAAATGCCACGTCTGCCGTGCCGTGCGAGCCTGCAACGCACAGAGGCCGCACCCCCTGCGCACCCCCCCTTGGTGTCGAGAAAGTGCCACGCCTGCCGTGTCCTGCGAGCATGCAACGCATGAAGGCCGCACCCTTTGCGCAACCCCTCTGGGGTCGAGACAGTGCCACGCCTGCCGTGCCCTGCGTGCCTGCAACGAATAGGGGCCGCCCCCCCCCCCCCCCCCCCCCCTGCGCATCCCCTTCTGGTGTCGAGAAATTCCCACGCCTGCCGTGCCCTGCGAGTCCTCGACGCATAGAGGTCGCACCCCCTGCGCAACCCCTCTGGTGTCGAGAAAGTGCCAAGCCTGCCGTGCCCTGCGAGCTTGGAACGCATAGGGACCGCACCTCCTGCGCACTCCCCCTGGTGTCGAGGCCGACCCCTCAGTACCCACCTGGGGGGTGCTGGCGGCCGCGGGGGGGACGAGGTCGACTCCAACCTCTGACGCCTGGCCCCCGGGGGCTGCGCGCAGGCGGCCATCCAGAGGCCTCCCGAGACCCCGTTATCCTTCCTCTTTTGCCCAGGAGGCCCCTCCTCTCGCCTCTCATTCGGGGTCTCTCGGGAGCATGGTCGTTACGATTTAGCCTGTGGGCCTCCCCCTGTCCTTCCTCTTGGGGGCCCTTAGGCCCGCCGTCTCTCGGCCTCTCTCATGTCTGGAGCGGGGCCCCTTGCTTCTGCATGATAATTTGGCCCTCCCACTACCACCTCACCTTCGCGACTGCGAGATGGAGGACGTCTTCCACCGTGGGGGTGGTGGTTGGGGGGCTAAATGGCCCCCCCCCTCGGGTCGCCGACCTGTGGACCTGCGGGCTCCCGCCGCTCCCCTTCTCCGAAGCCCTGTGAAGCTCCTCTGTTTCCCTTTTTTCTGGCGGGGGCTCTGGGGGTCCTGAGGGAGGCTGCTTCTGAAGGGGCCCTGGGACACACAAATAAATACACACAAATAAAAAGATCCCCCATACTTTCCTATTACCTAACAGCGAAGACTGATAGGTTTCTAATAATGTCAAAAGAGAGCATCATGACTCCCGAAGGGGGTCTGGGCGGGATCCAGACAGGGTGCCCCTAGAAACCGGGGACTTTTTTTCTAGCAGAAAGTAACGCACTTCGTGGTCTTCGAGTTCCCAGAACTCCATTCCTGGGCATGATTTTGAATGCCCGGGGCCAACTGTAAGCCACTTCGTGGTCTTCGAGTGCCCAGAACTCCATTCCTGGGCATGATTTTGAATGACCGGAGCCAGCTGTAGGACACTTCGTGGTCTTCGAGTCCCCAGAACTCCACTCCTGGGCATGATTTGGAATGACCAGAGCCAACTGTACGTCACTTCGTGTTCTTCGAGTTCCCAGAACTCCATTCCCGGGCCACATTTTGAATGACCGGAGCCAGCTGTAGGACACTTCGTGGTCTTCGAGTTCCCAGAACTCCATTCCTGGGCATGACTTTGAATGACCGGAGCCAACTGTAGGCCACTTCGTGTTCTCCGAGTTCCCAGAACTCCATTCCCGGGCCACATTTTGAATGCTAAGGCAGGCTGAGGCTGAGGCTGAGGCTGAGGCTGAAGGCAGACTGAGGCTGAGGCTGAAGCAGGCTGAGGCTGAGGCTGAGGCTGATGCTGAGGCAAGCTGATGCTGAGGCTGAGGCAGGCTGAGGCAGAGGCAGGCTGAGGCTGAGACTGACGCCGAAGCTGAAGGCAGACTGAGGCTGAGGCTGAAGCAGGCTGAGGCTGAGGCTGAGGAGGCTGAGGCTGAGGCTGAGGCTGAGGCTGAGGCTGAGGCTGAGGCTGAGGCTGAGCTGAGGCTGAGGCTGAGGCTGAGGCTGAGGCTGAGGCTGAGGCAGGCTGAGGCTGAGGCTGAGGCTGAGGCAGGCTGAGGCTGAGGCTGAGGCTGAGGCAGGCTGAGGCTGAGGCTGGCTGAGGCTGAGGCTGAGGCTGAGGCAGGCTGAGGCAGGCTGAGGCAGGCTGAGGCTGAGGCTGATGCAGGCTGAGGCTGAGGCTGAGGCTGAGGCTGAGGCTGAGGCTGATGAGGCTGAGGCTGAGGCAGGCTGAGGCTGAGGCTGATGCAGGCTGAGGAGGCTGAGGCTGATGCAGGCTGCGGCTGAGGCAGCCTGAGGCTGAGGCCGAGGCTGAAGGCAGACTGAGGCTGAGGCTGAAGCAGGCTGAGGCTGAGGCTGAGGCAGGCTGAGGCTGAGGCTGAAGCAGGCTGAGGCTGAGGCAGGCAGGCTGAGGCTGATGCTGAGGCAGGCTGAGGCTGAGGCTGAGGCTGAAGCAGGCTGAGGCTGAGGCTGAGGCAGGCTGAGGCTGAGGCAGGCTGAGGCTGAGGCTGAGGCTGAGGCTGATGCAGGCTGAGGCTGAGGCAGGCTGAGGCTGAGGCCGAGGCTGAAGGCAGACTGAGGCTGAGGCTGAAGCAGGCTGAGGCTGAGGCTGAGGCAGGCTGAGGCTGAGGCAGGCTGAGGCTGAGGCTGAGGCTGAGGAGGCTGAGGCTGAGGCAGGCTGAGGCTGAGGCCGAGGCTGAAGGCAGACTGAGGCTGAGGCTGAAGCAGGCTGAGGCTGAGGCTGAGGCTGAGGCTGAGGCTGAGGCTGAGGCAGGCTGATGCTGAGGCAGGCTGAGGCTGAGGCTGAGGCTGAGACAGGCTGAGGCTGAGGCAGGCTGAGGCTGACGCCGAGGCTGAAGGCAGACTGAGGCTGAGGCTGAAGCGGGCTGAGGCTGAGGCTGAGGCAGGCTGAGGCTGAGGCAGGCTGGGGCTGAGGCTGAGGCAGGCTAAGGCTGAGGCTGTGACTGCGACTGCCGTTGCCGCTGCGACTGTCATCGCGAATGCGACTACGACTGCGAGAACAGCAGAATTCTACAACTGGATTCTCATCTGAATCTAAAGGGAATGCTTCCAGATATGCTCCTACACATCGCTGTTAGGTTGCTTGGCCTGGATTATATGTTCTGGGTTTTCGTCGTCCCCCCCACTTCCCATATTTTCCCATATTTTCTGGGAAATCGACGATTCATTGTGTCTGTGTGTCTCTTTCCCTCTTGAGTTTCCTGAGGCTCCCCCCAAACCTTCGGGGGCCACTCTCAGGCCGGGGGCGGGGCAGAGGTCGCCGCGTCGCGCCGCGAGGGGCGCGGCGCCAGCGCGGCGCGGACAGACCGCCGTGGCCCGCAGTGCGGAGGAGGAGGAGGAGGAGGATGAGAAAGAGGAGGAGAGGGAAGAGGAGGAGGAGGAGGAGGAGAGGGAAGAGGGGGAGGAGGAGGAGGAGGAGGAGGAGGAGGAGGAGGAGGAGGAGGAGGAGGAGGAGGAGGAGGATGAGGATGAGGAGGAGGAGGAGGAGGAGAGGGAAGACGGGGAGGAGGAGGAGGAGGAGGAGGAGGAGGAGAAGCAGAAGATGGAGGTTGAGTAGAACAACGATTAACAATACCCTCCCCGTTTCTGCGCCGGAGCAAGTCCGTGGACTCGTTGAGGCTCGTGCGCAACTTCTCGATCTCGTCCGCCAGAACCAGATTCTCGTTCGTCAACTGCTCCTTCTTGGCTTCCAGTTCTGAGATGCCGCTTTTGACGTTGCACGCCGCATTAGTCTAGAACTCTACTACTCACTTCACCTGGCGGCTCAAGCCTAGGCCGCAAGGCGCAAAGCGAGACTGTCTTATCCCCGAGCCCGACTCCGAGCACAACCGCATTGCTTGGGGAATGTGGACGTGTCTTCCCAACCGTCGAGGTGAGCCTGGTTTCGGACTGGGCGGTCGGTAGAACACAAAACTCAGGACGAGTGGGCCTAGCACGACCGCTCGCCAGGGGCCCGTAGGGCACCAGCTCCGAGCCTTGGGAGCCGACTCTCCTCCGGCGCATCCTCCTACTAATCTGCCGCCGCCTCCTGTAATGTACAGAAAACCTCCCCACCTCCGTTTGCTCATCACACGATGGGGCCATTTGGGGTGTCAAGGTCCTCTAGGACACCCCAAGTTGCGGAAACTACATAATCCAGCGCGATGGGAAGGGAATGGTGGGAGAGAGATAGGATGTCACATATATCGCGGGCGCACCTAGATTGTCCTTCTCTCCTCTCTCTCTCTCTATCTCCCTTCTCTGTTCTATCCTCAGTGGAAGCAACTATGCCAGAAGCCCTTCACAACAACACACGGGTCAACACATCCCACCCTCCAGGGAACAACTATGGTGGCAGGCTGAATCAGTCCGAACCTGGTGAACAATTGTGGGATGTTTCACTTCTCGCCCCAAGTCGAATCCACAAAATTGTCTCCGTCCTCAACCTGGCTATCCCTGTGGACCAGGACCCCCTCCTAGGCTCCTCGGATGAGAGACAGGTCGCGTGGCGCAAGAACCTGCGAATCCTGTCTTCTCTCTCCCTCCCCCTTCTGCCCCCCGCCACCCCGTCCCCATGCTCTCCGCCTTCCTCTCCGCTCCCACCCACCTCTCCTGCTCGCTCCCCCTGCATCCATCCTGTTTCCTTCCAGATGGCCCAGAGCTTCCAAATCTGAGGTTTCAACGTGTAGGCTACAGGCCCTTTCCCTCCGTGTTGCACGCTTGGGGCCCACCGTGCTGTCACATCACGAGAAGCGGAAAGCAACCGCCGCCAATATCGGGCACAGGTCCAGCGCCCTCGTCCTCCCTCGTCGTCGGCGGCGTGAGGCCTGCAATCATCACGTTGAGCTTCATGGCGTCAGCGTAGCGGTAGTCGCGTTCCTTCTCGGCGTTCGCCAGCTCTTTCTGCGGTTGGCGTCATCGCCGTCGTCACCGTCGCGGGGCGCCCTGCCAGGCCCGTCCTGGGAAGCGCTCTGGGCAGAATCTGAGGAGTCCACCCGTGGCGACGAGAACCCCCCGCTGAACACACACGACGCACCTGCGGCAGAAGACCCTGCGCAACTCTACACGCTTCGTCAGGGGGCCGCGATGGGGTTGGCTGATTCCGGGAGCCGGGAACCCCACGTCCCACCACTGCTCGGACGTCCACTATCCGTGCATGTTTGGGCTTCGCTCGCCATCGCTCGGACGTCCATTCCCTGTGTTTTTTTCGGTTTCGTGCGTGGCTTTTCGCCAAATGATCAAGGATGCTCCTCGATGGTCCTCGCCGAAGGAAAAATGTACACGTCCGAGCGATGCCAAGTTCGTGCCTGCTTTTGTTAGGTTGTCCCAGCTGCTCCTAGCTGATCCAACGCTTCCGACGCTGGCCTCGCCGAGAAGAGTGCACAGGTCCGAGCGATGCCGTGGCATCGGGCGTAAAACAAGTATCCAGAGCACATACAGACAAGCTGTTCGGGGGCAACTTTTTGGGGGGTCGGCGGCCGTGGGGATCCAGACGGCGGCAGTCGGCGGTGGACAAACCTCCCTTTAGCAGACCTCCCCTTAGTGAAAACGGCCTGGGACCGAAACCGACGGACCTGGAACCGCAAAAATGACGGCCGTGACGCCCTCTCGCGAACCGAAAACGACCAATTCCTTAATCGACGTGTCAGGGTAGGAGGTCTGTCCACCCCCGAGACAGCGCAGCGGCGGGGCGCCATGGGGCACAGCGGGGCACGCGGGGGGGGGGGGGACGGCCCGAGAGGGGGGGGACGGCCCGAGAGGGCGCGAGAGGGAGCCACACTCGGGTCGTGAAGGCCGGCGTGTGCGCGCCTAGGGAGCAAGTCCAAGCATTGCGTGGCGTGACAGAGGGCGGCGAGCACAGGGGCAGCCCTTTGAAGGGGCCCTGGGACACACAAATGAATACACACAAATCAAAGGATCCCCGTATATTTTCCTGTATTTTCTGGGTTTCTGTCTTCCCCCCACTGCCCATATTGTCCCATATCTTCTGGGGAATCGACGATGAATTGTGTCTGTGTGTTTTTTCTCCTCCTGACCCTTGTCAGCTCGCGGGCGCCAAGTGGTCGAAGACAATCGGACGCTGGTCAGCAGGCGGTGGGGTGCATCTGGAGCGAATTGAGGCACGAGGGCGAAAAGGAACAGAGCGCGAGGGGGGAAGAAGAGAAGTTCAGGGACAAACCCCATCCTTCCTGGTTTCCATTTCATGGCAGGCGTGTACGCACTAAATCACAAAGATGCAGCGCCAAGAACTACGTGGCGCACCTCACCGCAATTATGAGCTGTTTCCCAACTGATTGAACAGGAATGGTGTTTACAGATCGTGCGCCTTCCTGTGGTGAGGCGTGCCTGGGGGCCTGTGAGCGCCCTGCCGCCGTGCTTGTGAGTCCGAGTCCTCCCGCACGGAGCGCCGCGGCGCTCGGGGGCCCTGCGCCCGGCGGGACGTGGGGGCTGCGGCCGCGACAGCGCTGGGCGGTGCGCGTGGGTCTGGCAGGCCGCTCCCGAGAGGCCAGGAGCTCCGCCCACCCCCTCTCCTCCTCCTCCTCCTCCCTCCTCCTCCTCCTCCTCCTCCTCCTCCTCCTCCTCCTCCTCCCCCTCCTCCTCCTCCCCCTCCTCCTCCCCCTCGTCCTCCTCCTCCTCTTCCACCTCCTCCTCCTCCTCCTACGCCTCCGCCTCCGCCTCCTCCTCCTCCTCCTCCTCCTCCATTTCTTCTCCTGATAGATAACTTCTCCCTGTCGCACCCCGAGGCCAGTTTTTAGGGCGGGCCGGGCATTCCGTCTGAGACTTCCTCACCACTCATGACTCTGAAGCTTAAAAAGTGACAGCAGTTTCACAGATGGAGGTCGGGTGGTTTTCACAATGTGGCTCTCGGCTTAGCGCCGCGTGCATTCGTTTTCAACACTTGCAAGAGCTTCACGGATTGATGGCGGGCCATTTTCAAAATGTGGCTCTCGCCTTTGCGCCGCGCACATTCGTTTTCAACACATTGAAAGAGCTTCACTGATTGAGAGCGGGTCGTTTTCAAAATGCGGCTCTCGCCTCAGCGCCGCGCACGTTCGTTTTCAAAATTTCCAAGAGCTTCACGGATTGATGGCGGGCCGTTTTCAAAATGTGACTCTCGCCTGAGCGCCGCGCACATTCGTTTACAAAATGTGCAAGAGCGGATTGAGGGCGGGTGGTTTTCAAAATGTGGCTCTCGCCTAAGACCCGCGCACATTCGCTTTAAACATTTGCAAGAGCTTCACGGATTCCCATGATCAACGTACCAGAAATCGTGTTTTTGGAAAGATTCAGGGTTATGCGGGTGCAACCGATATGTTGATTCGCGGTGTTGAAGTCCCACAAATGGCGTTATGGCACGATTCCGGATCGTCAAAACGCAGCAGTCAGCTTGATACGTGGCGTTGAAATCCCGGGAACACATGTTTTGGCATTCTTCCAGTGAGGCAGTTCCCTCAATGGAAATGAACCGTTGTAGGGGCCTATGAAGAGGGAGTTTGGAGGGAGGGTTAGTTCCAACATCGTTGATGACTCTTGGGTTTACACTGGTCCTCCTCCTCCTCCTCCTCCTCCTTCTCCCCCCCCTCCCCCTCCTCCTCCTCCCCCTCCTCCTCCTCCTCCTCCTCCTCCTCCTCCTCCTCCACCTCCTCCTCCTCCTCCACCTCCACCTCCTCATAAAAATCTGGCACGAGCCTGCATCAATTCCCGTCTGGGTCCTGCCCCTTGGGTGGGCGAGGCGTGCCGCAGCCCTTTCACAACTTATATCCTTTCACAGTATATATATATATATATATGTATATATCCACTACCAGAACCTAGCGCGGCAGCCCCCTGGGCCGACCGCGATACCACGACGTCAGAGCCGTCGTGGCACCGACGAGAGAGACAGCGCCGTGCGGACGATGGATTGCTTGTGCGTCTTGCGTCAGCTCGTGTCGGTTTTCCAAAACATCATTCCTCGCAGCGCTCGTCAGATCAATTAATGGACAGCTGGGTGTGTAAGATATATAATACTCCCAACTTCCCTTCGCGTACCTCCTGTCGGTCTTGTATGCATGTGCTGGTGCCCCATCCATCTCAGTCCAGTTCGAAGCCGACGGACAATGCAGCCGCTGGGGGTACCGACTCGGCTCATGGTTTCTATCGTACTGCAGCGTGGGTGAAGAAATCTCCGAAGGGTCGGGAAGGACGTTCACCTGCTACCGAGAGGAGGCCGCCGAGGAGGCAGCATTCACCAGCTGCTTCGTTTCAAAAAGACGAAGAGAACGATGGAGATGCATCTCAGAATCAACGGGCGCCATTGGGTATACTTCCAGCGTTGCCAGACTATGCCACAACTCACCTCCGTTGGCTGGGAGTTGCCAGAATCTGCCGCCAAAGCGGAGAGGTCAGCCTACATTGCAAAGAGAAGGATCGAGTTGAGGACTTTGACGGCAACTATACGTATGAAGGAGGAGAGTGGCGACTCTGCAAAGGACTAATGATAATGGTTTGGTGTGACACCGGCGGCTATACATATTCGCAGGCCATAGGAGGAGCAGTTGGATCGACAGGCAGCTGCACTCAAGAGAGCTCATGCGAAACACGAGGTTGTTCTCAACAAGGTTGCAAAGTTAGAGGCCGAGTTGCAAGAGTTGTTCGTTCAGCGCGAGAAATCTGAGCAGTGGGTCGAGCGGCACACGGGCGCTCTTCACCAATTGCAAGCTACACCACCGCCAGATGGATCGCCGCGACACGACATGGACGAGGACGAAGAAGGTTGATATTCACAGGTGAGACAGCCTTTACCTGTGGGGCAAGTGGATCGTGCACGTACAACGGATCTCAGAAATGTTGTAGATTCTGGAGCACGTATGGAACCATCTCAGCAGCGTCCCACTCGGGCTTCAAGCTCGCAGGATGCGCCACAGTTGCCTATCATGCCAGATGTTGCAGTCATCCGAGCTCAATTGCAATCTCTTTCAGTCAACTTCCACACGTATCAGCAAATAATGGATTACAACGTTCAGTCCTTGACATCTCAATGTGCACGGATTGCAGCAAGACGCGAGGCGTTTGTCGTGGCGACACGGCCTACAGTGCCAGTGGCAGCTGCTGCAGGCTCGACGGCGGCGCAGCCACCTTCGCCGCCAGCTGCGGCTGCACCGCCACAGGGGCAACTACAGCTGCCCGTTCGAGCTCCTCATGCGAGTTTACCAGCTCAGCGCGCAGCCCCAGCTTCCCCACCTCAGCGTGCTTCCAGCGCTTCACGTTCCCCGACGGCTGCTCCTGCTGGAAGCGGAGAGGCGGGCGCGGAGGCAGCGAGCCCCAATGGAGATGGCCAAGGCGCAGCATCTGGATTTCAGGTGGTGTAGGTACGCCGCCCACTCCGATCGCAGCTGCTTTTGATGAGTTGGATGGGGGTGGGCAGCCACGCTATGTCACGCTCGGTCTAATAGAGCGTCGACCGAATCGCTTTGGTCGGAGATTAAGGTGCTATGGGATCTTCCCCTCCCGCGAGATTGGCGCAAGTGGGAAGGCTGTTCCCTTCCTGCTACTTTCTCCCACCTCGCCTCCTTGAAATCTTGGGGCGGTAGCTTTCCCCAAATCAGTCGGGCCAACCTCTTTACGGACGGCTCGGGAGGTTCGTCTGAGTTTCCACCGTCTTGGGCATTCGGTGTTGTCCTTGTCTCGCATAAAGGAAAATAGATGTTGGGGGCTTTCTCGGGTGGGGTCCTGGGCCGAGGTGGTGAGTGGGACCCGATTCGAGCGAATCTCCAGGCAGAGGTTGTTGCAGATTTGTGGGCCTTGGCATGGGTTGCTCAAACACGCATCCAGCCGGTCTCCTTTCAAATTGACAGTCTAGTGGTTGTGCGAGGTGCTCAAAGTCGGGCTAATATTCCGCCATTGGCCGGCCATGCGCTGGC